AGCTAAAGGGAAGGAGATTTGAGACGATAGAAGAGATTCAGGCAGAATCGCAGATGGTGCTTGACAGGCTGACAAAGAAAGATTTCCAGGGATGCTTCCAGGCTTGGCAGCGGCGCTGGGATCGTTGTGTTCACTCCCAGGGGAACTACTTCGAGGGGGATGGATGAATTTAATACCTGAGATAAGTATACGGGTTTTTATAGGCGCAGTCTAGAAACTTTCCGATCGCACCTCGTATATTCCTTGTCGTCGGCTCCATCTAAACCTGGTGATTCTACCAGGATCTGTAAGTTATCCAGGGAATGTGAGTGGATGTTGATTGATTATCATCCCCTTTGTGAAACTCCAGGGTTAAAGGCTGTCGGCGGCTGGGATTTGACTTGTGACAGAGCCCAGAAATGAAGGCAGCTATAAAACTACAAAGAAACTAGTTTCGTCCCTCCTCCAAACTGTCTTTATCAGGCAAGCTGTCGTGACAAGACCTCAGTCCAACTGTGGCGTTCTGTTTCTGGCTATTTCGTGATTAATATTTATTATTTTCACGCCGTGTTGCAAAGTGTCTATCAGTGAGTCAGGTCAATCTTTGTCACTGAGACTCATCACGCAGTGGCTGCTGGAAACTTTCAAATTAATACATAGTTAATGAAATTCTACTTTAAGATCCTCATAATGACGTGTACTGTTCCCAGAAGGGCGTTCGTCGTTTTATGTGTATCCACGCTCCACTGCTCATCAGGGATGTAATCTGAATGTATTTTAAATGATAGTGATAAGCTTCGAGTAATTACAGACATCTTTTTTAACGTAACTTTCCTCATACGACGTAAGTCAAAAGGTCTTTGTATTCTGATGACTGTTGTGCTTCTTATTATTATTAAGTGTTCTGTCTTACGACAGGTCCATTGCTCTGCCCAAAAAGAGCTCTCCAGTTGTCCCTATTCTCGGCTTCTCGCTTTAATTCCTGGAACGTCATCTTCTTTCCTTGTTTAAGGTCGTCGGTTAGCTGTATCAGTCTTCTTCCCAGTCCTCTCTTTCCTTCAACCTGGCCTTCGGTGATATCACTCAGTAACCCATTCCTTCTCATAATATGTCCCAGCCAGTTAGCTTTCCTTCGTGTAATCGCCTGCAGAATGCTTCTTTGCTCGTTGACTCTCCTCAATACTTCTTCGTTGGTCACTCGATCCGTCCACCTGATCTTCTCTATTCTCCTCCAACACCACATTTCAAAACTCTCCAGGTATTTCCGTTCCTTCTTCCTGAGTGTCCAAGTCTCTGCTCCATACGTAACACTTCACTAGTCTCTTCTTCATCTCCAAGCCCAACTTGCTAGTGAGAAGTATCCTCTTCTTGACGAAAGCTGCCTTGGCCATGGGTTGTGCTTCTACGCTACGTTTTTTATCAGTTGGTAGAGCAACGGGAATTTGTAAAAATTTTAATTTTCCGTCTCGAAGTATGATGTCGGTTTTGTCTATTGTAATTTGTTTGTTCCATTATGGGGAAAGGTAATTTGAATTAACTTGAATTTTCTGAGTTGGTTTTTGGTACGTGTTCTTAGAGTTTGTTCTTGTAGCTTTAAATCTCACTCGAATATATGTTGTTATATGTTCTTGTTATTGTCACATAAAATTGGTTAATTACTGTTTTTTTTATAAAGAAAATTCTTTGCGTTAATCGCCCAATCGTAAATAGTTACCATATTAAAATAATTATCACGTGTAACATTTGTGTTTATTCGTACATATTTGATGTTATAATTATTGTAACACATTAAGTACGGCTTGAGGTTCTCAAGGCGGTGATTAAAAAGAGGATTGTGTACACGTTCTTTTCGAAAATGTATGTGTCTGAACCTGACTCCATCTAGCAGAGTACTTTTATAGATGCTGACAGTGTCCTAGCTGGTTAAGAATTTTCCACCTTGTATGTCTATGTTTATTATATATAAAAGCTGTTTAACCTGTTACTTTTCTCTTGTTCCAGGTAAGCCTTCCTCTACTTACGTGACTCCATAATTTCTCAGACTACAGTTATTGAAGAAGATGGATTGCCAGCTTCACGTTCTGTTTGCCTTTACTTTGGCTGAGTGCAGCGCTTGGTAAAGGGATGCTGCCAGGCCTATACCGAGGATGAAACGTTGTTTCAGGTACAGAATCTGTAATCATCGGTTCTGTCCATTTGTAGTGACTTTTGAAAATTTATGTGGTGTGTGTAATAAGGAAATTTCAGAAATGATGCGGTTTGCTGAAAAGAACTGAATGCTGTCTGTCTGCAGCATCGAGATGATGCAGCAAATTTAATTTTTTACGCAGTGATTTATGCCTCATTATCGCAGTTAATCAATTAGCGATGACTGAACGAAAGTTCACTTCTGACTCTCCAGTCCCGATAAACAGAGTTTGTTTGCTAACAAATTAGGCTTCTGTGCCAGTATCAGGCCGGAAACATATTTTTACGCCTACTCTTATTAGGATATTAACTTCCGCGTCTTATTTTGACTGTAAAAATTAGGTCATGAGATACTGCAATTTCCTTTCAATGCAACGTCACATTTCATTCGAAAGCCTTCTTGTAATAAGTAGATGACTGTTTTCTGAGGCATTGCGCAGTGTTTCAGGGTAGCTTACTGCCTCCATCATCAGGGCTTCGAAGATGGAAGTGATATGTTTCTTCAGGGCTGAAATTGGAGGGTAAATGTTTCTTTGAAACGTTTGAATCCATGTATACATTTATTTTAATTCCTTAAGATGGAGTCAGTTTCTCTAAAACGTTGGAAACTACAACCTAGAAGTCCATCATCGCCACGAAGAAATATGTTTCTATTACGGTGAAGTTGTCTTTAAATTTTGGGTTGTAACGCCATGTGGGCACGTTGGTAGATACCACGGAGATGGAGAAAGTATGTTTGTCCGAAACGTTAAAATGTACCAAAAAGTCCACACGACGTCACAACCGAGAAGAACGATGTTGACAGGTTTCGAGAAGAGCTTTCGGTTGTTTCATCAGATAATGCGTCAGAACTTAAAGTAAATTATTTTTTTTACTATTGTCATGAACCGTTGTCTGAATCACAAACCGTTTTCGTGTAATTTTGTCAGTTGCTATTATTCCGCTAGACGACAGATTAAACTGTGGGAATCGAAACATCCTAAGTGGATTCTAAATGGAGCGGACACAATCGAAAGACAAAAACTTTAAAGCGAACGCTAAGTAGCGGTCCTGTCATTTACCATGCCCTGCTTAGGGTACAGAATAAAAATATATTGAATTTATTTTTATTTAATCCTCTAGGATTTTGCGGAATTCTGTGGTGTATTGACTGACACCCGAGGACCATGAACCTGCTCGAGTTATTTTCCTGAATTACTTTATTATGTTTCCTTAAAATACTCCATAAACTGATCTTCTATAATTAAAAACTGTGTTATTTTAACAACATAACCTAATTTCATGCAGCAAAGTTATTGGGAAGCTAATAGTCGCTCAGCTATCCAATAAATTCCTCGCTTTTGTGTGACCCAAAAGTCTGATACTATCCAAATTTCTCTTCAGGTTTTGCAGCTAAAATTTTGTACCAAGTTCCAGTCTTCCTTTTGCGTGCTACATGTTCCTCCATCTCATTCTCATTTATTTTATAATCCTCTTCGTATGAGGTGAAGAATATAAATTACGGAGCTGCTTATTGTGTAGTTTTGTCTGGATGGTTTCATCTGACAGCTTCCGTGCCACTAGGAGCAGCAATGCATTGAATTCCGCGTCCTTTCTCCATAATAAATTACAGTTCTAAAAGTACGTTTATATTTTTCATCCATTATCTTTTCTTATGTAGTGTCTGAGACTGCAGCTCAGTGAATATGTAGATAGTTAGCAGTTCCAATGTAAAATAATGCAGTGATTTATTTAGTGTGTTTCCGTAACGTTTTCCCACGAGTGTGTCCGAATAATCGAAACGAATTATCCTATTATCGTAATCAGATACATCTAATTGGTTAAGGGACTTGTTATTATTTGTTTTTCCTATTAACTTGCAGTGGCGTTACGGGTTTATACATTTGTTTAGATATTTTTCTGAAGTTCTCAAACGTCATAATTGTTATTTTGTATGTGATTTATAGTGAAATAGGTTTAGATACACATTATGAAATTTATCCGCAGACCCAACATCATTTTTATGGGGGAAAAAAACATTTACAAAAACGTGTACTTGTAAGACAAGCAACGAAACGTGACAATAATACTGGGTTAAGACGAATCTTAGGTAGGTATGATGGTTGGAGATGCAGTATACTGTTTCAGACTTGTGCCCAGTGAGATTACAATTACGGATTTAGTACTGCAGAGAATTATTCCTCGAGAAACGTTTATCGTTTATACCTAAAAATGTCACGGCTGCGTCTTAGCGTATCTTTTCCAATTCATTAATCAGCTTGTCATTCGACGCTGTTATTCTGAGCTACTGAACGTGTCGTTAAATAACCCACAGTTTACATATTAACATTTGAACGGTGTACTCTGGGAGAGTTCTCAAGATATCATATAGTTTACATGGCCATTACCAGATGGCAGCGCTAATAGTTCTATTGTAACTGGTAGATAGCAGCACGATCTATTGGCTGAAAAAATATGAAAGATACGGACAGGACACACGCACAATGGGTTCTTCGCAAGCACTAAAGCGTAAAGAACGCCTGAATCACTGTCGATAAAATTATGAATGTTTTGTCACATGTATATTCAAACTTCCTCTAGTACTGACTCGGTCTGTGGAAATAAAATTATTAATTTTTTAGCAGTCAATAAGTAACTCATGCAGTCGGCCTAAGCTTGAGGAGGGGAGAAAATTAGTTCAGATGACGTGACGCGGTTACCGTTTCTTGATATGTGGGACAGAAAGCCGGCAGTGAAATGTGAGTTTCTCTATTATAAATTGCCGTCATGTCACATGGGTTGTGGTTTCTGTACACTCCTGACTCCCCTCGCAACTATACCCCGCGGGATGAAAATACCACGAGAATTTTATCTGTCTGGCTATTTCCTCGCATTCGCAAACTTGAAAGCGACGATTTATGGTGGAGTTTCTGTATTTTCTTTCTCCTTTATCCCCATATAGCAGAGCCCTTTAGAAAATAAAATCACTTTGCTTTTCAAGAGTTTCCCCCGCATAAGATCCCGACAGGTTACGCTGTAACAACCTGTTTATCGAAGATCCGTTTTAATATTGTCGTCCCATTTACATCTAGGTCTACCAAGTAGTCTATTACATTCGGGTTTTCCTGTCTGTTTTTGTTTGCATTTACCTTCGTCATTCACATATCCTCGACACCCTCTGACCTTATCGTCGCTGGTTTAAAATCTAATGATTTTAAGTGATGAGGACAAACTATGAAGCTCCTCATTGCGAAGTTAAGCATTTAAGATGGCTCTTTCAGTACAGTGACAGAGGTTACCATTTGGGTGACCGGGGTTCGATTCTCGGTAGGATACAATTTACCTCGTTGCCACTACGTCTGTACCGGGTCTGAGGCCCATGGGCTCTGGAACAAAGCGGCAAGGATACTTAGGTAGAGAATTCCTGGAGTTATACGTCCACTCCCCCCATACGTCTTTCAGTTTTGGTGCTTCGTTGGCCGCCAGAGACGACTTTACTGTTCGCTTCCCGTTGGGTGGAAATATTCTCGAGCAAAGTTCATTCGTCGTGAGATCGTGTATGTCGCAAGGCAGCACAGCGAAAAACGTGTTCATATCCCGCGGACAATAGATTGGAGAGCCGTTGAATGCCACTGGTATTCATTTTGCATTGACTTATTCCTTTCAGTTGTGAAGACGTGTTTTTATCGAATCTCTGCGTCGCTTTGAACCCCGTTAAATCCACCTGTGCCCTCGTTGTTACGTCGTGCGCGTAATTTTTTTTTTTTTTAAGTAACGAAAGTTGAGGATATTTTGTTTTGTTCTGTTTCTTATATCACCGCGTTAAAATTTGAGTGGAACTCCGTAATTGGAGGAAAAGGAAATTGTTCGTCCCGTCTTAAGAAGATAAGAAATGAGTCGATTCTCTGCGCTTCCTTCATCCGTTCTTGGAAAGCCGTTTGTTGAGTCTTCACGCCCGCTTTGTCAGATGGCGGTGGTAATTTTCCGCTGAGCGCCAAGCAGTCTCTCCCTGTACTGATCCCACCAACTCCAGTCAAATACAAACCCTGCAGTCATATTTCAAGGATATGGCATAACGTGTAATTAACTTGGCTTGTACCACTGACAACCCTCTTTTTTGTATGTGTGTGTTGTACCTCATTATTCCGGGCAACGTGACTGGTTGGTAACTCCTGTTGCAGGTAATTGCTCACCACTGGAGTCAATTATATTCCCCCTGTCCCCTCCTTCCTGTACCCCACCCGTTTAGTTGTCTTCATGCCGCATAGCAACAGTGATCATGCTTACTACTCGTCAGTGGCGGTTTTGTATTACGTGTAGTTGGAATCAGTGCTGGTCGCTCGTGCTATCTTTGTAAATGATGGTATAGTACAATGGTATTCAACCTGGGATACGCGTACCCCCGGGGGTACGTGAAATTTAAAAAAAATATTATTTTATGATAAACACTGAATAATCAGTAATGTAATTTATTTAATTTATTTTAGATGTAGATTATATAGTATGTATAACTTGAATTATACACCAAAAACGTTGGGGGTACGAAGTTGAAGAGAAATTATATCAGGGGGTACGCGAAGACATCTTAGGGGGTACGTGAAATTTAAAAAAATATACATATTATTTTATGAGATGGTAAAGTTGCGTCATATTGTGATATAATAAGTATATATTAAATCTTGTCCGTCTAATCACAATAAATTCTTATTAAATATTAAAATATTACAATAATTAACATTTAAAATATTTAAAATATTAAATGATGTTCTTTATCGAAATATTCGATTTACATTAGACCATCATTTTTCATGTTTCACGACATGTTTCAGTTCCTAAAAGAACCATCTTTATGTAATTATATAAAGCTTCAAAACAATAAATAATTCAAATACAATTTTTATATATTATGCTAGCGTGCATTTTTATCAGATTTTTACCAGTTATCAAACGATGTTCTTTTTCAGATTTTTATTCTATTTTTAATAACACACTCGATGT